AACTCGTTAGTTGTACCATAGTTTGGCAGCCCACTTTCATTTGATGTCCCTACACTTTTTCTGCTTTTGGTATCTACATCTTGGGAAGAACCATCGACACTCTTGTTTGTACGGAAACCTTAAAAGTTAAAATGATTTAAATATTAATGGTATATAGCAATGTAGAATACATCAGGAGGTAGATATTTTGTAGTTGGATTTAGAAACGTATGTCTTGTTTATTGTGTCTATATATGAATTTACCTCTCCTTTCATTTAGAATATATCTCCTTCTGAGACGTGCTCTTGCTGCCTCGTTCCTTTTATGTTTTGAGTAAACATGTTAAGAACACTTAAGAGTTATAGTATTATTATATTAATGATACTATAATCAATCAATCGTTTACCTTCTAATGAGGGAAGAACTTGTGTTGTCCAGCAATGCAGTACTTTTTATAGATTCCTTTGTAACTACATTTGTTACTGCATTCACAAAAAATGTGAAAAGAAGGTACTGAAGTATTTATTAAGAAAATAAAATTTTGTTTATACCCTTATTTAATTCTTCATTGCTGATCCTTATTGCTTCTCGATCTTGCATGCAGAATGGATTTTCTTTTGCGACGTGCTTCCGCTGCATCCATTTTTACTCGTGCTCTGCAATGGATATATATTAGAAAATAACAAAATTAAATTGCGCCAATTTTTTAGTTAGAAAATTCATGTTGCGATTATGTAAAATATATTCCAGTCTAAGTTGAATATAAATAACAAAGTGTACTATTTATTTATGTTCTAACCTCTGTGTGCTATCATGTTTAACTTCAAAAGCCTGCTCTTTTGAAGTTATGTGTTTATATCATATATATGACCTGCAATTATGTAAAACTGCAAGAAATTTGGTTCCTTTAAGAGACAAATCATAATATCACTTGGTCTACTGCAATTAACCTTTGATTCAATAATTTTTCTTGTAAGAGTTCTAATTATGTTCATCACTTCATGCTTCAATATAAATACTAAAGTCATACTCTAAAAATATAATCGTAAACTATGAGACCTTGGTTGGTAAAATTGTTTTGAACGGTTTGACTCTTGATATTTTGTATTAGAGTAACTTGTGTATGTTTATACAAATATCAAATGAAATCATACATAAATGGAAGTTTGTAATCAGCCTGTTAAAGGAGTGTTTGGGGTTGCTTAAAAAAAGCGCGTTTCAGCTTTTGGCTTAAAAAAAAGCTGAAAAGGGTGTTTTCAAATGACAGCTTCTGCTTAAATTATTTACTTAAAAGGTAAAAGCTGGAAGCAGGTAGAAGAGTGTTTTAAACTGCTTCTCACTTTTTCTATTACACAAAAGTACTTATTTTACCAAACACTACCAACTTTTACTTTTTCGGAATCACTTTTTTCTCAAACACTCCCAACTTTTACCAAAATCACTTTTCCCAAAATCACTTTAAAAAATCACTTTTTTAAAGTTGAAGCAATTGCAAACACTCCCTAAATTTGTTTGGCTCGGTTAGGATTATCAAGCACGAACTTAAATCAAGCACTTCGTAGTAAGTAATCTATATGTTCGAAATATTATTTATACTTGAAAGAGATATTGTTTTAAGATGATTGAAAGAGATATTTTGTTGGATTGTGATCAAAGTGCAATCCTACAGAGTGCATGTATACATATGATGTTAATCGAACAACTAAGAGTCAAACTTCTTTAGTAAGATGAAAAGCATAACCTTGAGACCCAAACGTGCACCAGCCATGGTAAGACTTTATCATTTCGATCATTAGTACATCTGAGTCCGTTTCTTTTGGTTGGCCATGGTTTAATTTTTTGCTGGAATGAAAAACGAAGTATTGCTGTTTCTTTTTTCTCCGGCTGCTGCGGCGGTTTAAGTGCTAAACCCTAGTATAGTACTCCTTTGATTTTTTATTGACTTTTTAGAATAAAAGTGAGAGTCGTGTTTTGTTAAATAAGTATGATAAAATTACGTTTTTAATAACTCCGTACATTGCTTTCAAATTTAGAATAAATCATACGGAGCACTTAATTAAGAGGCCGTTTGGTGACACTAAAATCGGCTGAATTGGCTGATTCTGCTGAAATTCATGGTGTTTTGTGTGAAGTAAATGTATTGGCTGATTCTCCTGTTTTATGAAAAAATTATGTTAAAAATATTTGTTATTAATAAATAAAATAAAAAACTTTACGAAAAAATAGCTAAAATTATCCTCTACAGTAACTTTAGCCAATACAGCCAGAAAAGTAACTCCAATCTTACTTTTTCTGCTTATTACAGAATTCAACGCGTAAATTCAAAAGTTACGTGTTTGGTAAAAAAGCTGACTCATAAGCCTGATAAATCGAGAAAATGATTTACTAAATGGGCTCTAAATAGAATATAATCGTTTTTTTTGAAAGATTATGTTCAATACTTAAAATTGCAAGAATTAAACTTTTTTTAGGCACAGTCGATCGCGGATAATTAGGACGGGGCTAGGAAATTTGGAGGCAGGGCTGCCCAAATAGTAGTATAAATGTACAATTTTTGAAGTAAAAGGCATAAAAATTCTTAGACTAAAAATAAGGTTTGATACGATTTGGAAAAAATACTACCAAATTCAAACCAAACTGCATATGGTCCGGTTTCGGTTCGGTTTGGTACGGTTTGGTTAAGCCAAGTCATTATGCCCACCCATGGTACCAATGGTCAAATACTAATAAAGTTATATAAAAAAGAAGCTGAATCAGATTGAAATCAACGTTGAATTTACTTATTTTTAGTATTACACTCTAGAGCGTGAAATCAAAATGTATAAATTAGTTGATGAGGCCGATAAGCTGAAAAACATTATCACCCAAAACAGTTCATAAATTGGCTGATATGTTAAATAAATCCTCTTTTTAGTAATCATATACTATTTCCGTCCCGAAAAGGTTCGCTAAGTTTGACTTTCACGTGGATTAATAAAGTAAAAATAGTGTGGTTGAAATTTGTGCAGAGGAGAGAGAATTAACTTTAGCCACATATTCCTTACTTTAAATGGAAATGACAAATCTTGTTGGGACATCCAAAAAAGAAAATTTGGCAAATCTTTTCAGGACGGAGGGAGTATTTTGTACCAAAATAACTTATAGTAAGTATATTTTACTAAAAAGATTAAAATATAGTATAGGTTCTTTTGAAAATATATAATTACTTTTTTCTCTTTTAATTATAATTGTCCTTTTATTAGGTTTGTCAACGCACAAATTTGATCATGAATTTTTTTTCAATCCTGGTTATTATGAAAATTAAGAGATTTAAATGTTGAAAATTTTAAATAAGAGGAACTTAACAATGTTTCCCAAAGTTTAACATATAACATTAATATGATCTAAAAAAATATAACATTAACAAATAATATATAATCAAAGTAGAAAATACAAATATTTTAAAGTAAATAATGTTGCAATTAAAGAGAACGAAGTGCCTAAGTGATAAATGCTTTTTTTAATACCACGTCATAAAAGGCACATTTGCGTTTCTAGACATTTGAAGGGTGAACACTGTTTGAACACTGTTTGACACTGTTTAGACACTGTTTGACACTGTTTGGACAATGTTTGACACTGTTTGGCACTGCTTTGCACTATTTTATTTGCCAAAAAGGGAAATGTGCCTTTTATATTGGGACGGAGGGAGTATTAGTTACAATGTTAAATTTTAGTAGTAAAAACGCTGCTCTTCAAAGTTATGACTTATATTTGTGGAATTCCACAATTGCGTCTAAATGATGAGCTTTAAAAATTGTCCACCAAATAACCATTTTTTCACAAATGCTGTTAAACCTTTTTAAAATATTATTTTTTCTGGCAGTTATGGGGCCAGTTTATACGTCCGAAATGCTCAAAATTAAATAGTCGCCATTTGTGAATTCCTCACGCTGCCGCCGTTATTTCTAGTACTTATTCATCTAGCAGGAAAAAGTACTAATTCTTCGCCTTTGAAAGTAGTGTGTGGACCATGTTATCAGTTTTGATCAATGGAATAGTTTTAAAGGTTGAGCTTAGTTGCTCCTAATAAATGTCTTTATTTGTAAGAGTTATAGAACTTATATCGTGTGTTTCTATTTCTTCCTTGTCCAAGGCAAAGTCTAGAATGACATAAATGCCCAATTGCAATTCTCTCAGTTTTAGCCTTTGGCATTTCCCTACAACATCGCCGTTTATTGTAGCATTTCAGATCGTACCTCTTCGTACTACAAAAAAGTCGACTATTATCGAATCTAAGTCTAATAAAATAAAAGTCAGACCGTAAAGAGATGTATGTTGAATGCGCGAAATGAAATGAGATGCTTAGTGTGGCTTACACTAACAGAATAAAGGTGTTTTTAAATTACGTGCACATAACTGAAATAAGTAAAAAAATAAAATAAAAAATAAAGATTGAAGAAAGCTAACTAAAATAATCAAACATATTGAATACTTGAATGAATGTAAGCAATAATAAGGACAGTGAAATTGTATATCGTCTAAAACGAAGCAGATAAAAAGGTCACTTTTATTGCTTAATAATGTAATAAATAATAAGGCATGAAGAGATGAATATTGTCTGCAAGGAATGACAAAGAAATGTAACTATTTCACTCCTTTTTAACACGCTTCTGAATCTTAGTTGCTGATAGTTGTGTGGCTTCATCTGGGGACTGAGAATCATCACTTTGCATATGTGATGATCTTTTGCAAGGTGTAACAGAAGCCGATGAGCTTTCAGGATCATGATCTGCTGTTGCAGACAAAGATTGCTGCACATATATGTCAACAACTATGCATTAAAATTCAATCCTTGTAAAACTGCAAGTTAGATTTCTTGTCTAGTCCGGTAACACTCAACCATGTTTTATAATAATACATCTTTGCATTAATTATTGGAGAGAAACGTTATAATCAATGAATACTTTACGAAATTATTTAATAGGTTCCCCCTACCTCATCCATGTCAATTTTCCCCAATATAGATTGCACAACGGCCTCATCCTCGGAAACTTTTTGTACGGATGCAGCACTATAGGCTGGCTGCATTTTGATCCTAAATGCCAAAGTTCTTCCAAGCAAGTCATCAAGTGTTTCTGGATAAGACAGTGGATCGTCCTCACCTTCCTAAGCAAGCAAAATGGTAAAACCTTAGAAATGCATTTAATTATCATAAAAATGTTGTTTGAATATACAATGGTGTCAAAAAGACATATATACTTCAATCATTTGGTTTCTGAGCTCATTAGCGGTCTTCCCAAGAAGCTGAATGCATTCTTGATCCCACAGTACAATCTTGACGCAATCTTTTTTATTGTACAACATGACTTCCAGCCTATACCTGTTTAAAAGGATTTATCATTAATTGCTGAGCTATTTATTGTTGTTGCATACTGAAGTATGGAGTGATGGTGATGGTTTCGTATGAAAGGAAATAATCTAGTCTTACTGTCCTCCACCCGCATCTGATTTTCAGATTCTGAGGTGTGGGCCGCCACTGATGAACAAAGATGCTGCTCACCTTGAAGCACTTAGTTACACATCAGAATATTGAGTTTTATTTTTCCTTCAAAATATTGTATTAGGACATTGTGTTTCGCTACAATAAAAAATTGTATCTTTGATAGGTGATGAATTTTATTTTAGGAAAATGTCAAGCTCTGGTATCAATTTAGACTTATAAAAAGGCTAAGAATAAATTAACATACATCTATACTTTAACTTTATTCACAATAATTCACACTAATATAAATCCGATAGTAAGAGCACCTTATAACAGGCTCGTGGTTGTATTTGCCACATCTGCATGTGAACGCGCCATTGGGTGCTTCAGCCTTTCTAGTGCATGAAGAGCAACTTTGATAGCTCCACCCACTTTTTCCAACCACAAACCTTGCAATGGTGCCAACAGTGACACAAGTTGTTTCCTATAGAATATTTAAAAGGTCATTGATATACTTCAGTGTTTTATTAACTTTTAAAGTTTTTAAAATTTTAAGATACCTCTTTAAGGCAATTTATATCAGCAATACTCATAAGAACAGCTCTATATGTAAGCTTCTCTTGCTCAGAAAAACTGGAGCCTGAGGTTTGGCTTTGAGTTTGACCTTGTGGCTCGTTCACTTGATTTGATTTGAAGCTTTGATAATTTAAACATGGAGTTAAATTTAAATAATAATAAATATTATTTCGAAAACAGAAATTGTAATTAGCAGAACATTAATCCTGATGATATATCTATCTTTGAATTGCTGAATTTCTGCAATGTCTTCATTTATGAGCAGTTTGGAGCTGTACATGCTATTTTGAATGGTGATAGGATGCATGCCTATCAAATGAGTGAGGTATATTCTATTAGCATCTATAATATGTATTTGTACATAGACATGAAGAACACTTAGCAAAAAAATTCTAACCTTCCGGTTCCTTGATTTTTGCATGAGTCAAGATGATAACAGTCAGCTCCGATGGATGATTTTCACGGAAATTCAACAGTTTGGTAGCATAGTCGCCCCACAATGTGCATGTTATCATATCACCACTACAACGAAAACATGGTGTACTATTTTCAGTAATGAATATTTCAAAAAGTTTAAATTTTAATAATACGAATTAAGATAATAGGAGTATTTGAAGCTAATGACATTACCTGAGATCTTTCATTAAAAATGATATTTTTTTCAGCGAAGCATTAGCCTGGGCATTAAGAACGTCATGCAGAGATCCAATGACATCTATTTTCATCCATTCAAAAACTAATAAGTAACATATCAATTAAATTTTTATCGTAAAACTACAAAATTTATGTGCGGTTATTATTTGATTCTCACCAACCAAAACATGAGTGTCCAGTTTGCCACTTAATATATCACAAAAGCTTCTAAACTGATAGTGATCCGTGGAAATATCGGAGAGATTTTGTACTTTTAGCGTTGTACCACCTGTGAGTTGAAGCTTGAATGGATGGTCACAAGTCTTGTATTCCCCATCGTTGCGTAGGACACAAAAATTCTGCATCACATACGTTTCTCCTTCTTTAAGTGTTGGCTTCCAAACAACCATCTCGGCATTCCTCGCAACTGCTTGTATCTTATGGCCCTAATGGATGCAAATAATTTTAAATTAATTTTCAATCATAATGGTGTGAATTATGATTTATAGAACTACTGATTTTAGTAATTGTCATACCTTGGCATCCATCAAAACCATTTCCATGAACTTTAAGGAATCAACACGACAGAGTGAAATCACTCTAACCGCAATCTTCCATGTCTCCTTTGAGTCGTTGATCTCTTCTATTGTGTTTATCTTGCGTGCCATACTGCAGGGTCTAAAATTTAACGAAAAGCTAATAAAAAGAAAACACATTTAATACAACATGATCTGATGAAAAAGGAAGAATACGTAAAAGGAAGAAGAGATAAGTAATTTGATATGCGTTTGCTTGAGAGAAATTCACTGTATATCAAAACGCAAAGCCACCCTAGTAAACAAATACCATGATAAGGAATCAAGTTAAAAGAGCAAATGGAATAAGAGATGATATAACCCAAGTACGAAATGCTATATGAGGTTGTCTTGCTGTTTTTAAAAGAACTTTTAAAAATCAAGTTAGTTTGATGATTATGTTGGAAATGCAAGATATTAGATTTAGAAATGATAATAGCCTTATAACTTATATTCGGCAAAATACAAACACATGAAAGGCTAAATAGAAAGTTATGTATGCTCAAGCTTGCTCTATAGGGTAAAATAATCAGCTTAACATAATTTGTAATAGCTTAAGTCTCCTAATAACTTATTCAACTATGTATAGTTCATCCTAGTTATTTCTATATATAATAACTTATTCCACTATGCACCGAATTAATGAAATTTAGAATAAGTAATTTTAATTTTAACATTCAGGGAATTGAAAATAGCAAATATAGCTTTACAATAATACAAATGTAAAAGGATTAAAAGGGTAAGAAAGTAAACAAAATAGGCAGCAACTAAACAACAAATACCAAACAGAAAATCAACAAATACAGAAACCAAGAATTAGAGAGTACCTATGCTACTTGGGCACTCAAGGATTTGTGCTTCCAGAGCAGGGTGAATGTGGCTGAAAAGTACACCTAGCAGACATAAAATTTAAAGCCAAGGCTATACCTTGCATTGCAGTGATGTTAACTATTTCTATGGTCGATAATCAATTGAATTAAAAAAAATGAGAGAATAAGACAACACAATTTGTTCAGCAAAAAACAAAGCATAATGAAAAAGTCTCTATCAACATCTGGTCAGCAAAAAGAAAAAAACATTGTTCATCAAATAAACAAAGCATAAAAAAGTCTCTAGCAACATCAGTTCTAGAAAAATAAAAAAACATTGTTCATCAAAAAAACAAAGCATAAAAAAGTCTCTAGCAACATCTGTTCAGCAAAAAAATCTTTGGTTTCATATAGTACTATCCTTTAGAGGCATGGTTCAGGGTTCACATAATAGAAATAAAATTAATAAGTAAAATCATAATAGAAATTTGGCTCAAATATTCACAAAGTGAATCATTTTCTTTTGGTTCACAGATTCAAAAAGTTAATCATTTGCTTTTGATTTTAAAAGAATTGACAGAATAAAAAGTGAATCACTATTTTATAATATATTGTGGGAATAGATTATTCATTATTGCCTGTATAGCTCAAAATAAATGAACAAAGGAGGCTTATTGAGATGGATGAACACAACCGGACTATGTGAAAATCTCTACAGAAATAAAATTAATAAGTAAAATCATAATTGAGACAAAAGAAAATCAAAAGGAACCAAAGAGTTTTAAAATCATTTTCTTTTGGTTCACGGATTTTAATAACTTTTGATTCAAAAAGTTACAAAGGAGGCTAATTAAACATAATCATATTGATTAATTAATAAGACAAAAGAAATATATAAAAAAAGCACCAAGGGAAAAAAGATTGCACTGTGGACTGTGGAGTGAGCATCTATTTGACAGAATAAAACAAAAAGACTATGTGAAACAGAGTAAATAGAAATATTCTAAGGAATGTAAAATCATGTTTACAGAGTATTGGTTTCACACGGAAGTAACATACAGGCTCTTCATGTATCTTTGTATCAAATCTTCTATTTATGCAGCAGACCCTCAGTTTTTGGACATAGTAACTTCTTCAACTTAGTTAAAGGTCCTATAACAGCCATCTCTAATATGTTTTTGCAATCAAAACATTTCATCAAACACCTTATATGCTATAGCTTATATGCTCTGCGCACTTACAATATGTGCAAAAACAACTAAAAAATCAGCAGGAAATACTAATTAAATGCAGAGAAAGATGATTGAATGAGAATAGACGGCGTACCTGCTTTATTAGAGAGGGCAATAAGGCATAAAACCCTAGTATTGTAAAGGTTTATATAGCAATAATAATACCTTGTCTTGCAGTGATTTGTGCTTTGACGTCTCTCAATATTGCGGTAATTTCGTGGATGGGAAGAGGGAGAGGCGTGTTATACATGGCAAGCTCTCTAGTCCAATCGGCCGAGGAATTATCGGAGAAGAAAAGAGGTATCCGCTGGTTTTTTGTTTTTTGGCCGAGAAATTTGTGCGCAGAGTTAATTTCTTTATACATAGCAAGAGCTCTCCAGCCCAATCTGCCAAGGTATATTATCGGAAAAGAAAGAGGGGAGGCGTGAGCTGATTTCTTGTGTTGGCCGAGAAAATTGTGCGGAGTGGAGTTTTCTTTTATTAAAAGCGGTGGGCTTTTTCAGCTCAAAAAACGAAGCCACGTGGATTGCTTAGGGGAGCCGAGTGAAATACGGCGAGCAGCACACGTAGGAATTTAGAGGGCAAAAATGTACTTAGCACAGCCTATCCTTTTCTTATATATAAGTAGATACGTGAATTTTCTAAAGCAGAGCTCATAAAAAAATGTTTTTATTTGGACTTATTTTAGAATCAGACTAGAACATACCAGATCAGACATAAAAACATTAGACTAAACTTAAATAGACCTTACCAGACCAAGACTTAAACATATGTAAAATACACACAGACTAGACATTTACCAGAACAGTTCAGATCAAACCAAACGAGACCAGACGAAGACTTAAACAGACCAATCTGAATTTTCGAACCTAGTTCGATCTAGATCTTTCTGATTTGGATCTTTTTTATTCAGATCTTTCTGATATGAACTGGTCTGATCTGAATACTTTTAATATGATCTAATATGAATAAAATAAGAATATGCAATAAATAATACGAAGTAAGAATAACACTATTAAAAGTTGAGATTCGAAAAAAGAATGATGCCCATCCTTGAGGCCCCCAGCACCGGACAACAGTTAATTGGATGATGTAAATTGAACTTTACTCACAAGTTGACAGATAACAAGTGAGCTATGACTTAGATACTTGCAAGTTCCCTATGTTTGCATTTTACATAATAACCTCTCATCGCTGTTGTTAGAATTCGAATCCCAAATTTATTTCTTATAACACTCCTTATCTACTAGTTGAGCTGCATCTACCGATCAAGTTGGGCTTCAATGGTTTACTCATAGGAGCCATGTTAGGAACCGTGTGGGGCTTAGGGCTGTTAACGAACCGAGCTTTTATCGAACTATTCGAGTTCAAGCTCGGTTTCGAACCTAACAAGCCGAACTTAACGAGCTTTCGAACTTGAACCCGAGCTGAGTTTTAAGTTCTAAAAATTAATCGAGCCGAGGTCAAACATATTACTATGGGGCTCGGTTCGAACTAGAGCCCATCGAACACCCTGCAATTATAAATATAATTTATATTTATGTCAAAATTTAAATACCATTAGTATGATTTTATGAATTTAAATATGATTATTAATGAACCGAATACTTGTCGAATCATTCAAGCACGAGCCTATTAATGAGCATCACCTAAAATTTTAAATTCAAGCATATTTATCAACTCATCGAGCGCTCGGTTCAAACATCGAATGCCTATCGAGTTGAACACGAACCTTATTTATAAAGCTCCCCGAGTTCGAACCCGAACACCACTAATTCCTTATCGAGCCGAACTCGAGCTTTGACTGTTCGGACTCCGCTGGTTCGTTAATAGCCCTAGTGGGGCTGGCTTATTTAATTTTGAGAAAGCTAATCATCCCATCACTCTTTTGTGGTCCTCGGCTACAGTTTTCACGCACTATTCTAGCTTATTCATATTCACTATTCAGGTAAGGTAGTTTCTATGGTACCCATAAGGTACCTGATACACTTGTAATTTCCGTGTGTATGTTTATGTTTTTAGCTAGTTTTGGTTGTTTAATGTTTCGGAAATTACACACTTTTGGTGTAATAGTTTAGTTTGTTAAATCCTTGTAAATTGTTTAGATTAGGATTATTCTGAGCTCAAACAGGTCTACTGTCACTCAAAGGATGGTTGGTGAACCCCAAAAGTGGAAAGAAGGTGCAAATCACAAGACAAAAAAGGGAAAACCCTGATTTTTGCCTATACTCGGTCGAGTATTACCTATACTCGATCGGGTATACGGTTGAAACTTCAAATCAGATCGGATCCAAAGACAAAAGAACATGCCGGGAAAATTTTGACCACGATTCAGTGTCTATACTCGATCGAGTAGACCGACATACCCGATCGAGTATGCCTTTGAGTTTAAACCCGAAATCGGTCGAGTATGGCTCGAATATCACTTTCTACACATACTCGACCGAGTATGAATATATACTCGATCGAGTACACCTTTGATTTTTAAGCCAAAATCGATCGAGTATACCTCGAATCTGGCATTTCACACATACTCGATCGGGTACTATTTGTATACTCGATCGAGTACTCGAGTCCCATCCCAAAAGCCTATAAATACACCCTCTTTCCTTCACAATAGATCATCAATTCCTTTATACTCTTAAGCTCAGTTTAGAATAGAATTTCTCTATATTTCTTTTAGCATGTTTAGTCTCCAAATGAGGAGCTAAACTTCCATTTCTTGGTTTTGCTCTTGAAGCTTGATTGATAATTAAAGTTGTGAGTTATTTTCTTACTTTCTCCTCTTGATTATTAATTCTTCCCTTAATCTCATTCTATATCATTGTTGGAGGGTGGCTAAGTGACGATTAGTTAACGTTCCGATATTGATTATTACTAGAAACGTTCAACGAACCGATGGTTAAATGTTGAAGGTTTCATAAGTAAGTAACTTCGGTTTATTAATGCACGGTCGTGGTTAATAAACTTAAGAGGGATTAATTTTGTTGGTTAAACCGAAACCGTTGTGTTGAGGTTATCAATCTCAATTGATTTCATCAAGGAGTTAAAGAGGTTAAATGCTACTATTAAATCGGTATACGTCGTTGTTCTATATTTGGTTAATAGTAAGGGTTATTAATGAACGGTCGTTGTTAATAACTACCCTCGATGAATTGGATATACTCCTCGATTGAGTATTCGAGAGGGGATAAGTTATAGATATAACAATGATCGACTAAAATATATCAACAAGTGGAAAGTAGCAAGACCAAGTCCCTTTTATTCCTTAATTTAATCCCATATAACTCGTTCATCTTCGTGTTTAATTTAATTAAATCACTCAACAATCAAAACCCCCCTTTTATTTGCTATTTACATAAAAAGAAAGTTATTCCTTTCCCTGTGAATACAAACTCTACTTCACCTATACTACGTATAAGTGTTAGTATCGATTTACTTTGAGTGCACTCACGACAAAGTGCACGTCAAATTTGGCGCCGTTGCCGGGGAAAGGCAATTATTTTTTCTTTTTATTTTTTTTTTTAAAAAATAAGTATATATGAATTTCTATTTCTTCTGAGCTTTGTAGTACATGGTAAAATATCGTTCACTGAACGAAATCACATACCACTCAAACCCCGAAATAGAACAAACTCTCGAGCGGTTGAAAAACAAATTCTCAAACTCCGACTCGGGAGAATCATCAAGTGCTAGTTCTCAATCTAGCGAGACCGAAGAGCCAATCACTATGGCTCATGAAACAAGAACATTGAGGGAGCTCACAGCTCCGAATCTAAATCAACAACCCCTATGTATCACTTTTCCAACTCTTGATACGGGGGTCACATTTGAGCTTAAATCTGGGCTCATTCATCTACTTCCCTCTTTCCATGGCCTACGGGGGGAAGACCCGAACAAACACCTCTCGGAATTCCATATTGTGTGCACGAGCATGTGCCCCAATGGCGTGTCCGAGGAACAAATCAAGTTAAGGGCTTTCCCTTTCTCCTTAAAAGACACCGCGAAGGATTGACTTTTCTATCTTCCTTCGGGCAGCATCAACACATGGGCTCAAATGAAAAAGAGCTTCCTCGACAGGTACTATCCCGCATCTATTTCTTCAAGTCTCAAAAAGCAAATTAGCAACATTGAGCAAGCAGATGATGAGACCTTGTACGAATATTGGGAGCGCTTTAAAAAATTATGCGCTAGTTGCCCATATCATGGGTATTCGGAACAAGATCTCATCCTCTACTTCTATGATGGGCTTGTTGATCAAGATAGACGCATGGTGAATGCGGCATGCGGAGGGGGTATTGTTAACAAAACCCCTACCCAAGCAAGAGACCTCATTTCGGAGTTAGCCGAAAACTCGAGACACTACAATGGGAGGTCATCATCAAAAAGAGTTATGGCAGCGGAATCCAACAACTCATTGGAAAGTCAAGTGGCCGGCTTGACTTCTTTGGTTAAAGATTTTCTTTTGAATCCTAAAACCCAAGAAGTCAAGGTCTGCGGCATATGCTCGACACAAGGGCACCCCACCGATTCCTGCTCAACACTTCAAGAGGAGAACCCCGAGCAAGTCAATGCTTTGGGTTTCCAAGGTCAAAGAAGATATGATCATCCCAACTTAAGGTACGGAAACTCTCAACCTCCTCAACAATCAAACCCTTCCCCTCAACAATATAAACAACAAGGTCAAACATCGAACTCGAGCATGTCCACCGAAGACATGATTCGATCACTTGCCATGAACATGGCTACGATGCAACAAAGTGTGACCCAATTCCAAGAAACGACCAAATCAAGCATCCACAATTTGGAAAACCAAATGAGCCAAATCTCAAATGCCGTGAGTAGACTTGAAGCTAAGGATTCGGCAAAACTCCCGTCTCAAACGGAGCCGAATCCAAGGCAACAAGCTCACGCGGTCGCTTTGAGAAGTGGCAAAGAATTGGTTATGGCTAAGGCAAAAGCTAAGAGCCATGTTGGAGAGGAAGAGGAGGATATCTTTGTGCCAAGCACAAATCCTCAAAATGAAGAGGAGAAGGAGGAGGAAATCACACCTCAAAGAAAGTTTCCACCGCTCAACTCATACGAGCCGGTACCACCTTTCCCGGAGGCTCTCAAGGACAACCGCAAATACAACAATGACAAGGACATCTATGAGACCTTCAGCAAATGTGAGGTAAATATCCCTCTTCTCAATTTGATTAAAGGTGTTCCTAGATTTGCAAAGTTTTTAAAAGAGCTTTGCACAATTAAACGGAAACACAAATTAAATGGAAAGCATAAAATCCAAGTGAGTGAAAGAGTATCGGCCGTTTTTCAAAAGAAATTGCCTAAAAAGTATAGTGACCCGGGAATGTTCACTATACCATGTAAACTAGGAAATTCTAGTTTTTCGAGG